CACTACCTGGCTCCCTAACACGTGTGAGAAGGTCCTCGATGCGCGGGAGGGGGTAATGATCGGGGACGGTGACGTCATTAAGGGGGCGGAAATCGAGACAAACGCGCAGGGAACCATCCCGTTTCTTGACCAACACCGTGTTATGGAGCCAGGTAGTGTCGCTTTCCACGATGCGTCCGGCCGCCAGCAACTTGTTGATGTGATCGTCCAGTTCCTTTCTGAAACCGGAGCCGGTATACGGGTGGGCCGATACCGGGACGGCGGAATATCAGTTGTAGTCTTAATGGTGATCTGAGTGTGGTCATAAGACCCCAGATCGTAAGAGGACAACGAAATGCGATCTTGAAATTCGTGGAAAAGTGCAACCAGTTGTTGGCGTTGGCTGGGTGTAACCTCTGCGGAAGAGAAGTCCAGCGAGAGAGGTGGGGGTGGAGGGGGCTCCTGAGCGCATGTCAGAACAGTTGTGCTAAAAGCACTGGTGGTTGTCAAGAATAGTGCCGTTCGGCAGCTCGAAGACAGGCCGGGCCGTCGTAAGCGTCTGGTTCTTGTAGATAACCTTGGGTGAATTGGTGGGATTGGTCAATAAAACCCACGGGTAAGTAGCTCGCGTAATTGCAGGGGCGACCATAATGCCTTCTGGAGCGAGAGTCATACCATCCGTCATGATTGTTGCGTATTGAGGATCTTTCTCTTTAATGTAGCATAAAACCGGAAACTCGGATGCCGGGGGAACGACAACCGTGGTCTGGGCGCAAACGGGGATAGGAGGAGGAGAGACCCCGGGCATGGGGTCGGGAGTGGCTGTAAGGATGGGTAGTACATCGTCTCCTACCAGCATCACCCTACAAGGATAGTTCAAGGCCCAAGGGGGGAGGCGCTGAAGGAAATCGTTCCCTAGAATGATGTTGTAGGCGTCCGCTGCGCGAGGGATACAGTTGCCTTCTGTGAAGTGTACCACGTGGTTGTACGAGAGTTTGCCGAGATTGAGTTGGAGAGAAGCACAGCCAGCGAACTTGACGGGAATCCCAGCCATCCCGACAGCAGCGGGAACTATACAGGGGTCAATGTGGAAGATCCCTAAAAGAGGCAGAAGAGACTGGCTGGCGATGGTGACTCCAGCCCCCGTGTCGACTAGTCCCAACATGTGGACGCCATTAGCGCGGATGGGCACTTGCGCGATGAAGTATGGCCGCGGGAAATCAAGGGACAGTACGGCACATGAGGCGAACTCCGCTTCTGCTGACCAAACCGTCGATGTATCGAAATCAATGGAGGAAATATCCAGGGCGGGAGCCTCCATCCGGTGGGGTTGTTCAATAATGCGGCGAGGTGGTGGTGGTGGTGGGTGGAGGTAAGGCCAAAGGGCGAGGGCGAATCGCGGAAAAAGGTGAACGCGTGTGCTGTTGGAAAAGGTGAGGGAACTGTAGCCGTAAATAAAAACACAGCAACGATTTGAAAAAGGAAAAGGTAACGAAAATGCAACAGCAGGTTACCCAAAAATCGAAAGGAGAAGGAAAACTCGAAAATAGTGAAAAAAATGAACTGACCGAGGAGTCCGCCGCCACTGTTGATCCTTGGCCACCCGCTGAGGGAGCATCCGCTCGCGAAAAATGGTCCAGCAAGCGGGAGTGATCCCGCGCCACCCATAGCTCGTGAAGCTGATGGTCGTTAGACGCCTCACTGAAATTGGTGAGAATTAGGTTGTGGAAGACCGTGAGAGGAGGCGCGAGGCGGAAAGCTTGCTGGGGGGATGCGGGTGGAAGTTTGGTAACCTCCTTGGGGGTGAACGAAGACCACCTTCCGCTGCGTGGGTCGTAACTGCGTATACCGTCATTGGAGGGGAACAGGAAGGGTTGCGTGTCAGAACAGGAGACCGGCGTCCCGTGCTTGTGGATAATGCCCGTAAGCGGATCGAGAAAGGCCCGCATGCGAGTGGCGCTGGGCAACCGCAGTTCCACCTGGGGAAAGGTATAGCAGGTGTGATTGAAGGGAAGAAAAGAAAGCGCTGAAGAGGGTAACGCAACACAGCGTCGGACTTGGATATAGCCGTCGCCAAGGAAGGAGGCGGCGATATCCTGGCGCCCGAGGAGAGCTCGCATAGTTGGCGTCGGGTGCGCATAGAGGGCAGCCTGGAGGGCGATGGAGATGGTGTTAGTGCGGTCGCATAACGTGCGCAAGGCATTGCGGAAGAGAGTGCCCATAGCGGAAAGCGAGGCGCTCTCCACAGCTAACAGCTGAGCGGACAATTGATTGGAAGTGACCAGGCCCACGTTGGGTGCTGAACTTCGGGGCTGGCGACGCTGGAGCTCAACGCCGTAGCCTTGGTCTGTGAGGATAAGGCTGTGGTCACAGTCCATTACCGTGGCGGAAGAGTTAGTCCACGACAGTGCAAACTCGCGATCCCGACTGATCCATACACCATCGGACAGTTCCCCCGTCATGCGGGACACCAACGTATAAGCGCAGCGCTCCTCCCTGTTAGGGGTCCAAAGAAGGAGTGAGCCATCCGCCAGAGTGCAAAACCCATCCGCATAGGCGCAGTTAGACAGATCCCCAACTGGTGCCTGTGGAAAGGCATCGTTATGCCGTGTATGCACTGTGGTGGCATACCAAAAGCAGTTAGTAACTTCCGCCGTGTGGTTGGTGCAGCAGCCGAAGGGGGCAGAGGGAAACTGAAAATGCAACTCGTGAGATGTGCGCCACACTCCCGAAGACTCGCGGAGGGACCCATACAAGCAATTGTGATGACGAGCCATTCGCCGACATTCTTCTACTGACACGGGCAGGGATGTCTCGTAGTGAGTCTCTGTGCGTGTGCCGAAAAACCCGACAGAAAAGGTCACCGATTGGCGAACGATCTTGCACAACACCGCTGGAGTGGAGTAAAGCTGAGTATTGGGTCGGTATAACAGTACCGTGGCCTTGACAGGGTCTGACGAGATGTTGGGCCAGAGTGAGCTACAGTCGGGGAAAGCCGGGAAATGGAAAAAGGTAGACTGACCCTCGTGGGGACAAAGCCAAGCGTCGACACTTTGAGCGGGGCTAACAAGCGCGGAGACGATCAACACGGAGCATAAGAGTAGCCGAACGTCCGGTAATGAGGGAGCCCTGTGTTGGCCCTGAAAACCGTGCGGAGAAGATGGCGCCGAAAGGGACGACTGAGCGAGTTCCTCATTACGACGAAGGAGTGCCGAAACGCGCGCTTGGGAATGAGCGAGTTGTGCCTGAGAGTCTCGCAAGGAAGCGGAGAGAGCAGTGACGTCTAGCGCGGCCTCGTCGTTAGCTTCAACGCGCCGGGAGGGAACAGCGCTCTTTGGGGAGAGGAACGATGCCTGGGGAAGTGGAGGAGGGTACCCCGCGCGTGGTCTTGGTACCGCAGGGCGTGCCCGAGGAGCGAACCCCAAAGATGCCGAACGCCGGGGTGAGGGGCAACTGGACGCGAAATGACCAACACCCCCGCAGTTGAAGCAACGGTAGTCGGTGGTTCGTACGAGAGAACGAGGGCGACCAGATCGTGGGATCGCTGATGCAACGGCGTCCTTCCAGGTACGGGAGGCCTGAGGGGTGGTTACCGCGATCCGGCGATCGCGGTCCCGTGGAGGACGGGCCAGTACCTGAACAGGAGCGGGGGTGGACGTAGGGTGCAGCAACCGATCCGCCGTGGCTTCACCCAGCAACTGCTCGACTGTCTGGGCCTTATTCACTGCCTGCTCGAAGGTTGTGGGGCCATCTAGTTTGACGAAATAGCGAATGTCACCACGCAGTCTGGATACGAACTCTTCTAGAATGCGCTCCTTCTGCGTGGCCGGGTCCTGCCCCGACGTCGCCGCCCGCACCAAGTTGAGGATGCGATTGGCGAATGATGTGCAAGACTCGCCCGGTTCCTGACGACAAGAAGATAGCTTCTGCCTAGCGACGTAGCGCTGGTGGGGGCTTTCGAAGAAGGCCATAAGATGAGCCACTACGGAGGAGTAAATTTTGCGCGCGTGCTCATCTAACTCCTCTACTTTCTCGCGCGCCACCCCATCAAGGTGACCGATCAGGAAGTTGGCCTGTTGTTCCTCCGTGAGGGGGGTGGGGCGCATGCGCATGATGTCCTCTAAGCGCCGAAGCCAGATCGAGAACTGGACTCCATTCTCGGTTGGACCAGTGAAGGGGGTGATTCGGGATTGGTAATCAGGTTGGAACATAGCCACCGACGGCAGTAAGTCGAGGCGTCGGCCTACCACCGCGAAGGACTCGCTGAGCTTTTCCTTGAGGGCCTCGTTGTTTTCATTGATCCTACGGGTCAGCAGCGCGGTAGAGGCGCAGGAATCATTCCAGACTTGTGTTAACGCCGATGTTGTAGCGTCGCGAATCAGCTTGGCGTCCCGGCCGAGAAGAGGAGTATCGTCTGAGTAGTCGTCGAACAAGTCGAATACGGCCCCAGGGAAGGGTTCCGGCTTGGCGGATTTAGTGTCAGACGGTTGGGCAGAAGCCCCAACAGTAGACGACGATGCCGACTTGGCCATGCTACGAGTAACGGGCATGACGACGAACAAGATATGAATGCATCCACCCGCTGACAGCGACTGTTATATAGGCTCCCGAGAGCGCGGGGGGTATGGAATGTGAAGCGGGCGGGGGTGGTATGGGAATGATGAGGGGGGGGAGAAATGTATG